TCTAGTTTTATCGATATTCTTCTTTGGCGAAAACTTGTGAACCGTATTGCTTCTTCCACGCACATCAAGGTCGATGTTTACAGTAGGATTAGGTGCTGTGACACTAACTGCATCAAACCTTTCCTTCTTTATAACAGCAGATGGATTTCTATGGCTTTCAGTTTGATGCAACTGCTTCTTGCCTTCAACCAGTTTCTTTTTCTTCCCACCTAGCTTGACAGCTTCAATTCCCTCTTTCCTGGAAGTCCCCTTTTCAACCTGACTTGTAGCTTCCTGGCTCAGTTTCAACAGAGCCCCTGCCTCCAAATCATCAACACAAGGTTTAAAAGGCACAGTGGATTTGACATATTTGATACTAACAAGCTTCCTTTGCTTTGTCAAACTATCCTTATTATTAACAGCGCGTTTCAAAGATTTCTTGCTTGAAAAAGCGTCAGCATCTCCCTTCTGAACCTTGCAACTAATTGGGGCTAATATTGACTCCAGAGATTCTTCCTTCAATATATCAGAAGGCAACAACTTATTCCTGAGCTCATCTTCATTAGTCTCCTTGGATAATAGAGAGGTGAGGCCAGGGCCCATGACTGGGTCGCGAGCACAAAGTGTATCCGAGAGAGCCACGGCTCTTGATCGGTTATATTTCGTATCCTTAACTTCACTATGATCCTCTAGGTTCTTCATAGCATTGCCACTTTTCATCTCCACTGCTGGTTCAATTTTCCCGGAGACATTAGTTTTCTCCATCTCACGACCCACCAAATTCCAACCAGAAATGGACTGATCCACGGATGGCCCTGGACACTTTTTGTTACTCTTAAGGACAATAATAGGTTGGGCGCTCCTGGAGAGCCCTTCCCTTTTACAGATACAAAGTAGACTATCATGTAGAGGTGATATCAGGCTACTCCCAGGAACAGGGAAAGAAGTCATTGCCTGATAAAAACGTGTGCACATCTTGTTAGATTCATCGCAGGTAGACTGCAGTTAAAATAAACATTGAAGGGGTGTTACCTGCACAATGCTGGTAGGAGAACCATCTGCTTCAAATGATTCTAGCAGCATATCACTACCTTCATCGAGACAATTCCCGGATGACAAAGGTGGGGAATCTCCCAGCCCAAGACCACTATATATAGCTTCATTTTTATGAGCCATACTATCAGACCCAACTTTTATGCGGAACTTGAGCGACCTTTGGTCAGGTATGTTGCTTGATTGACTTGGATTTTCATCCCTCAAGTTGAACTTGTGACCAACTTGATTGGAGGATAAACAAGGATCTCGTTTAACAGAAACATTGTCAGATGTCATAGCTGGAGTATTGAATGCACTGGGCCCACAGGAAGCACCTCTATGTCTTGTCTGAGGTACACCTGGGGCTGGTTTGGACATCCACGAGCTACCCTGTAACATGGTATAACACCAGGTCTCAACTATGGTTGCCCAAACTGACATAACAGGTGCCACAAATCTCTTCAAACAAAACAATATAAGCCAATGAACAGTCTTAAAGTTACCTTTAGTTGCAAATGGTTAGGAGATCTTGGCGAGTTTGAGATGTTTTGTGAAGTTTTTGGGTGTAACCAAATAGAAGATTCATCACCAAGCAAAAATGAGCCATACCCACCAAACATTTTCCCTGGCAAACAATTACAGTTTAGTACTAGTGTATCCGAGAAACAAAATTATCTTACAATTCTGGTACGACTTATCAACTTGCATTACAAGTCACTTACCCAAATTCTCAGCAGAAACTCCACCCTCAAAGTCCTTCTGGAAATGGCCCAAAACATTTTGTAGCTTGTCATCCTTGAAGAACAAGAAGGCCATAATTCAGTTCGCATGCAAAATATCAGAGGCTGATAAACAGAAGAGCTAAACTACAAATGGATTGCAGAGTACAAAATTCCAAATGGAATACAACAAATATCAGAGGATGATTAACAACTCGAAGGAGAATCTTGTCTATAGTATGACTATGAGAAGGATAACAAAGACAACTATCATAAGAAAACAAGAAAAAGACAAAGTAAGGGAATTAAGAAATTGATGCTCCAATCCAGCGCTAGAGAAGACATACAGACTGCATAAGAAGTTAGCATCGTGATATATGAACTGATCGCTTAACATACTGCATAGTTGACTTTCTAAGAATTTCTACAGACCACTTTTCCATTACTTTCTACACTTCCCATCTTCGTGAACTTTTCATCAGCTGCCACAAGATATGTTCCAATGAATCCATTGGCAGCGTAATAGTTCAGACAACTTATATGGTATATAGCCAGAACAGGAACTCCTCACAAACAAGTGTAGTTTAACTGTTCTTCACTGTTTCATCATCACTGCAAAATATATATATAGAACCCCGACCCACCTAATTACTTGCATAATCCTACTCTGAAGCATGGTCTCGACCATGTTTTCAAATTTCAACTCCTGAGATACGTTACGACGAGAAGAAAGGAACCAAACCAAGTCCATCTTGTCCATGCTACTAAAGTACTGACCATGTATCAGTACAGCAGATACATTTCAGCACATTTTACTCCCAATTACTAGAACCCTAAATTTCATTCCAACAAAATGTTTGATTAGGAAAATTAGGCCCTTACAATGTAAGAGAGAGCAATGTCAGGGTCTATCTGTTTGTCCTTTTCGTCGTCATCATCGTCTCTGTAACAGCCAGCCTCTCCTTCCTCAAGCTCGTAAGTCTCTTCCATCTCCATTTCACCTTTACACAGATGAAAACGAAACCACAGAGAGAAGGAGGAGGAAACGAAAAAGAGGCCGTAACCCTAAGATTCCTTACACTATCCTCCAAAACCCTAACGCCAGCACCACGCCACCGTCCCTGAAGTCCAGCATCACTTTAAAAAAGCGGAGAAACACAAGCAAGCAAACAATGGCCGCTGTTGAGCATTCCCCATACGGCAACACAACGCCCAGAGAAGAGACGAAAACGACTCTCAGACCGACCGTCACGCCAGTGGGATTCTAACAAGAGACGGGGGGGAAACTCTTCCCTATCGTTTCCCTGCGGGGAAATCACGATCGGCGGCCCGCCGATCGCAAGGCGAGTAATCGATCAGTTGAACTCGAGAATTCCCGGGTCGGTGGGGGGGCTGCGTCACTGCGGCGAGAAAATGGGACGTGGATGACTCCTCCGGCGGAAAAGGGGAAACCAAACAGAAGAACTTTCGCTGCGCCCTTACGGCGGAATTCTCTTCTTTTATTTTTCTGGTCCTTTTTTCCTCACCGATTCTTTCGATTGATGTGTACAGCAGCGAAAAGAAAGTGATGATTTGTTATTAATTCGCTCTCTTTTCACCCCCCTCGTTTTTCTTATTTGTTTTGTTTTTTATTATATTTCAGAATTTGCAATATGAAAATGAAAACAGAAAATGGAATTATAAACAAAAATTATTATTATTATTCTCGATAAATGATAAACTATAATAATAAATTTTTTTTTTTTTGCCGCATATAATAATAATATTCGTGGGTGCGTATCCAGGTGAATATTTTCGAACCATTAATAAGCGCGAAACAGACATGCTTCCCCGCGCGTGGGGAAACAGGGGGCGGACTGAAAGTGAAACCCGAGAGATCACTGCCGGGAAGGCGGCGGGAACGGCGCCGTGTGGCACCAGGGAAGTTGGGCTGTGGCTGTACTTTCTGATTGGGCCTTTTCATTTTATTTTTTGTATAATTTTTTTTGGGTAGAATATTGGGCTTTTACTAGTTAGGATTGTCTGTGTGCAACTGGGCTTTTTCTTTCTCACCGTTGTCCGGCGCTTGCAGTTGGAACAGCTTTTCTTCTCGTGTGGGTTACCGTTTGGGCTCGTTTTGCGCTTCGTGGGCAATGGTATGATGAATTGATGATAAATGGTTCAAGTTTCTCTAGAATTCGAATTCAATTAAACGGGTGTACACATTATAAAAGTTAGGTAAAATACTTGTTGAGTTTTAAAAGTTCGGTACAAGTTCGGTAAATCATGAGTTCACGAACATAATTAAATATTATTTCTTCAAGTACCTTTACCGTGCTATCAAAATTTTACCTACAAATATATCTCCACAAAAACTATTTTTGTGTAAAATTGGGTATAACTGTGGTTCAACCTTACAGAGGGTTGTACCTAAAAACTCATCGATAAAGTATTTTGTAGTGAAGTCGTGGTTTTTAACAGCTATATACCATTAAAAACCGCCTACTGGCTTAACCTCCCGTAAGAAGTTTTTTTTTTTTTTGTCGAACCGCCGGTACACTATGATTTCAAAAACACTCCATTGGAAAAACAACCACAAAACAATTGTTTTGTCATAAACGAGTTGGTCTCAATAACTCGAGTTGATGGGAGAAGGTTATTATAGATCTTATATAACTCTCTTCCACACTCCCTCAAATGAAAGTCAACTCACGAACCTGAAGTTTGTATTGAGAATAAAATAAATTCAAAAATACAAACCCACTTGACCAAACCACTCCTACACTATATCATAAACTAGTTAATACCAATAATTTGAATCAATGAGTAAAGATACCACCATTAGGCATTAGGGCTGAAAGTTTGGTACCGGTATTTGGGAACCGAATTTGTCGATATGTGGTATTACCAAATACATGTATTGTTTTTGGGATTGAATTTGAAATATTATTTGCTATTAGAAATTACGGGAGTGTGGGATTAAGATAGACATATACCAAAATACAATTTAGAATAAAATTTAGGATACAATTTATTATTCAGTATTTCATTATTTGGTTTGTGAATAACGATACTCTACCAATTTCCATCCCTAACCACTAGGTTACATTACATGTTTCCTCTCATATCGTATTGCCACCGCCTTCCACTTGGAAGAAGGAAGACGAAAAAATTAAATCACCGGATACTTCATGGGGAGCAAAACTGCAAAAGAAAGGAGGAAAAGGGAAAGAGTAATACTTATATATTTTTTCCGGGAACGACGGCGATGTGGGTGATGAACTGATGATGGGTTTGAGTCTGCAGAGCATGCTGGATTTGGTGGCAACTGGGATCTCTGTAATGATAGGTCTCGGCATCTTCACCTTCGTTGCTTCCATCCTCTGCTCCGCTGCCTTCATCCAAAATGTCAAATCCGTGTAATCCAATTCCTCAGGTATACCCTTCTTTTCCCCCTTTCCTCTCACAGTCTCACTGCCTCCACCGTCGGAAAATTCCAGAGAGCTATCTGATTCAATTTCGTATTTCCGTGCGAATTCAGACAATAGGTCATCTGGGTATTTACTTTTTACTCCTTCCGAGTTCCTATTTGGATGAGATCGGTGCAGAAAATGCATGGAAAGATGGAATGGTGACAGAGTCTGGGGAAAAGAAGGTGAATTTCCATTCCAATTTTGTTTATTCGGCGGTTGCAGAGATGGGTCATCTATGCCTATTTACTCTCTGAATCCCTCACATTTTTTTTTGGCTCTGTTACTGCTCTGCCAGAATTTTGCTAATGTTATGTATCCTTAAGCATGAGATCATTTGTCAATGATGTACTTCTTTGTCATATCATTTCAGTAATCTTCGCAAATGGCATCTGGAGGGGGTAATGTTGCAGGAACTTCTGCTTCTGATCCGAAATCTCATCTAAGGAAGAAGCTGAGGGATGTAGTGGATGTGATCGGTCAGATTCAGTGGCGGATCTAGGGCTGGGCCAACCCAGGCCCCGGCCCAGCCCTCCTCCGGATCCAGAGTTAGTTTAGTGCTTATAAAATTTTTCAATTTAGGTATTTGGTCTAGTGATATTTAAAATCTTGTCTAGTTTTATTTGATAATAGGATTTTGTGTAAGTAGGAAAATGGTTCAGATGAGCATATCTTAACCATTACTCTAAATTTATACTAAATTTTCTATAGCCCCAATGATTTTATTTGAAAAAAGACATTAAAACCTAAAAGTGTAAAGTTTCATTAAAATAAAATAAAAAACTCTAAACTAAAGCACACCCTTCTTTGCAAAATTCAAAAAAAATTCCAATCCCCAAAAAACAAAACAAGAACGAGGAGACGAGCAGACCCAAATGGATTTCTCCGCCAGCCCGTCGAACTGGTTTTCTTTCCATTCTTTTGATGAAGAAAATATTTACAAACTTGCTCAAGAGTTTAGCCTCGAGACTTTGAATGCTATGAGATGCATTCTTTGGAGAATGCACTACTCATGTGAGGAAGATGAAGTTTCTTCTCTTGCAAAATTATTAGAGAAGCTGGAGGAAACATGGATGGACACATAATACAAATTGATTTACTGGTTGATTTGTTTAGTGTTGACCTAGCCGTTTCAACAACTACCATGGAGAGAATGTTTTCAGCAATGGAACATGAACATTGATTTGAGCAACAAAATGAGCGATAAATTTCTTGTTTCATTACTTAGCTATTTTCTTTGAAAAATAGTATATTATCAGTATGGATGGTGATTATATTATTGATCAATTTGCTAATTAAAAGACCTTCTTGTACCATTGGCATTGTAATGAAAACTATATTATTATATTTTTTAATTTATGGTATCTAATATTATAGTCAAATGCGGCCCAGTGCTCTATTATGTCCTGGATCTATCGCTGGTCAGGTTCCTCCTGTTACTCCCGTGGTCCTTCGTGCTCTGGCTTTCTACCAAAGAGTTTTGGTGACAGAGATTGTACTTGTGAATCAAGGAATTACTGGCAACGAGCTCACAGTGACCAATGTTCCTCTCTCTAGTGCTGATCATCTGAATTCACTTGCTATATATGGAACATATTGTTCACGGTTGGTATATCTTTTTTTATGTTTGGTAATTGGGACGTTGTGTACCTGATAATATCTTTTGCAAAGGTTGAATGCGTATGATATGTCCACAATGGTGGTAATGAAATTGCTGATGATGATACCAGTGATGCTGTAAGCGCAGGCCATGCTGCTGGAGGTATGTCCGGCTTGATAGTTGGATTTTGTTTTTCTGCTGCTTTTCGGATGCAGAATTTAAGCTAGTAGTGATTTTGGAGTCTTCTCCACTTTCTTTCTACGTTGTAGCTAACCTGCTAGGCGTTTCTATTGGAGCTAACTGTTAAGCGTTTTAAATTTCAATAGTTTCTAAACGATAATTTGCAAAAACACATGAATTCAATTATTTGATTCACTAATTTTATTTATTATTAAATTAAGTTGAATATTTAAGTGGTTAGATTGGGTGAGATTGATGTTTAGAGTATAAAAATTGGTACCTACTAACTAGTGCCCCAACTCTTTTAAATTATATTTGTTACAACATATTTACTAGTGCCCCAACTCCTTTAAATGATATTTGTCTTCATCGGTAAAATTGATATTGAATAAAAACTAGATACAGAACCCGGCCCGTTGGCCGGATACATTTCATTAATGATATAAATAATAAATTATTGTCTCAACCATTAACAACATAAAATTCATCATCGATTCTATTATCACCACTCTCAAATGTATATTCCTTCTTCTTAACAACATCATTATATATGTATTAGTGACTCCACTGCCTCCAACATCAAAAGAATCTTTGTCATTCTCCTCATTTCATTACTAACAAATTTGAAGGCAAAACTAATGCAAATATGAACGCCATTATCATGCAAAATAAATTTACCTCATCCAAGTCATTTGCAATAATTGTTGGAGATGTGAACTTTTCATCTTTGATTATCTTTCAAACTATGAACTTACTCATGCGATTTGTAATTTTTCACTGTCAGTTATGTGATTTTCACTCTATTACCTCAATTTTTAGAAAAAGAGAAGGAGGATTACTTCTTCAACCACTATTTTGGAATAGTTTCTTAGCATCATGCAACTTAAATAAAAACAATATTAGCCTCGTGCACTTGAAAATTACAAAGTCCGATTCACCTTTTTTTTCTTCACAACATAAAGTTGGATTGAGATTCATTATTCAATTCAATAGTATAATTACATATGTCCAAAATCCTCCACCCTTGCAATATTACTTGTCCTCCACTTTATAATTGTCACACGGCTTTTCATTCTCCTATGCCTAAATAAGCCCATTATTTTGCTACCATATAACCCTTATATTTAAAGAAGTTACAAAAGCTTCATGTAAAAATTCTTACATAAGACATATTACAAAAATTTCATGAAATAGGGATGACAATTTTGACCTAATCCATATTATCCGATCTATTTGATCTATTTTAAAATGGACAATACCTAGCCCTTATAGGGGTGGGTGGGTGGGTGTGAGTACTCTTCTCGGCCTCACCTATCGTGACATCCTCCATCCTCAACCCGTATTTGTCTAAATTATATATTAGATTGCTTAGGATTTTATTTTTATTGCCTTGTAATTTATCAATATTTATATTGCTTAGGATTTCACTTATGAGATTTGTAATTTTCCACTGTCATTTTTGTGATTTTCACTTCATTACCTCAATATTTAGAAAAAAAGGAGGATGATGTCCTTTTCCACCACTATTTTAAAATAGTTTCTAGCATCATGCAACTCCAAATAAAATCTTAGTCCTTTGCATTTTAAAATTACAAAGTTTGGTTCAACTTATTTCTTCACAACATGAAGTTAGATTGAGATTCACTATTCAATTCAATAGTATAATTACATATGTCCAAAACCCTCCACCCTTGCAACAATAGTTGCCCTCCACTTATAATTATATTGTAACACGTCATTTTTTACTCCCATGCATAATACCCCGTTATTTTGCTACCATATAACCCTTATAATTAAAGAAGTTATTTAAGTTTCATTTGATATATGATATTTTAGGTAATGTGTATTGAAAATTCTTACATAAGTCATTACAAAAATCTTACGAAAGAAGCATGACAATTTAGACATAATCCATATTATACGATCTATTTAACCTGTGTTAAAGTGGCAATACATACCCCTTATGCTTATTGGGGGGGCGGGCGGGTATGTATGAGTACTCTTCTCGACCTCATCCATCCCGAATCCTCCATACTCGACCCATTTTTGTCTAAATTATATATAATGCTTAGCTAGGGATGGCAAAAATATGCACATGCATATGTGTTTTGCTAGAAATAATCATTATTTTTATCTAACATAATTTATATTTAACATATAAATAGAATATTTGCATGAAATTGTGTTGTTTTAATTAATTTCCGTCATTCTATTGAATTATTGACGTACTTTTCCTCTTACGTAATGTGAGAATACGTGTGAATGTTAACATATTGGTTGGAGTTATGAAGAGAAATTATTACCCATGGATAATCGTGGATACCCGAAACCCGAACGGGTATGGGCATGGTTTTGATTTTCTACCCGTTTCACATGTGGGTATGGATATGAGTAAAACCCGAACTACTTTGGGTAGGGTAACGGATATGCACTATCCACCCTTGACCCGACCCATTGCCATCCCTACCTTATTTATTGATTTTTAATAACAAATAAATATTTATAATATATTTATTTAAATTACATATTCATATGGATAGTCGTATCTCGATACGAACGAATATGGACAGTGGCGGATCTAGGGCTGGGACAACCCAGGCCCCGGCCTAGCCCTCCTCCGGATCCAGAGTTAGTTTAGTGCTTATAAAATTTTTCAATTTAGGTATTTGGTCTAGTGATATTTAAAATCCTGTCTAGTTTTATTTGATAATAGGATTTTGTGTAAGTAGGAAAATGGTTCAGATGAGCATATCTTAACCATTACTCTAAATTTATACTAAATTTTCTATAGCCCCATTGATTTTATTTGAAAAAAGACATGAAAACCTAAAAGTGTAAAGTTTCATTAAAATAAAATAAAAAACTCTAAACTAAAGCACACCCTTCTTTGCAAAATTCAAAAAAAATTCCAATCCCCCAAAAACAAAACAAGAACGAGGAGACGAGCAGACCCAAATGGATTTCTCCGCCAGCCCGTCGAACTGGTTTTCTTTCCATTCTTTTGATGAAGAAAATATTTACAAACTTGCTCTCGAGTTTAGCCTCGAGACTTTGAATGCTATGAGATGCATTCTTTGGAGAATGCACTACTCATGTGAGGAAGATGAAGTTTCTTCTCTTGCAAAATTATTAGAGAAGCTGGAGGAAACATGGATGGACACATAATACAAATT